TATCCTATATCCAAATATGTACTATCCAATATCCAAATACTACACTATCCTATTTTCATATACTACACTATCCTATATTCAAATACTATACTATCATATTCCCAAATACTCTACACTATCTTATTCCCAAATACTACACTATCCTATATCCTAATATTACACTATACTATATCCAAATGCTACACTATCCTATATCCAAAAGTGTGTCCAACTGGGTACCTCCGCCAAATATGCTTCCTAGCTATCGCCTGGACACCGTATGCACTTCCAGCCCCTAGCCGCCACAGCTTGGCTGGGGTCTCGCCATCTCCTCCCACCCTGGTCCCAAGTCCTGGATCCAGCTCACAGTGGGTAGACCTCTCCTCCAGAGAGTATAGCTGTAAAGTAAGTATAGCTGTTCCCCAACACATGAGTCGAGGCTTAATGCTGGGAAGTCATCTATTTTATTCAGGGCCACACACGGCCTTTTATGCACAAGCCCATGCAAGGGTTTTTTTTACACCAAATCCTCTGTGCCTGATAATTGAGTCAGGAACTGTAGTAACTCAATTATCTCCAGGTACAGAAAACACAATTTACAAACCCCAAAAAGTACCCCTCAAAATACATGAAAACCCCTCAAAAGTCAGATCCCTGGATAGCCCATATCTGGGTGACCAAAATATCCCAAAATCACCTAGATTGGTTCAGGGGTTCGGGTTTTCCATGGAAGTCACTTTTTGACCAACCGCACACGTGGCTTCTGCCCAAAATAGTTCCATGAGAAAAGTGGTAACGGTAGGTCAACTTCAGTAGCATAAAAACGAAAGAACTACCAAACGTAGTCTATATTTGAACGGTGGAGCTTGTTCCCCTCATCCAGACGAACGATTCCACCGAACAGTGTTCTTCTAAGATATACAGAACTGAACGCAGGCGATGATGGAAGTCCAGCAGTGTTTGGGAATTTCAGTGTCCGATTTTAGTTTCATGAACTCGACGACCAAACACTGCTGCCTGCGTTCCTGCAAACAAGATGGCCACCACCTTGTGGTCATTCATACGAATTGTGGCCACCCAGACGAACAATTAGAACACTGAGGTGAGAATTGTTACCAGGTGTCAATAGGGCTTAACAAGCACATGGGTGGTCCATGGTTCCCGAACAGTATAGGGAAATGGCACAAACAAAGTATTTTAAAAGGGTTTTTGCAGGACCCAGAGTCTTTGGGCAGGAAGCTAGCCAGCATGCCCCTCCAGGAACATGTGGCAGAGGCATTTTTTCTACACAAATAATATACTATCTTTTATGCAAATATTACACTATCCTTTTCCCAAATACTACACTATCCTATATCCATATACTATGCAATCTAATACCCAAATACTATTCCATCCTATATCTAAATAATACACTATCCTATATCCATATACTATGCAATCTAATACCCAAATACTATTCCATCCTAAATCTAAATAATACACTATCCTATATCCCAATACTACATTATCCTATATCCAAATGCCATACTATCCTATATCCCAATACTACACTATCCTATATCCAAATGCCATACCTTCCTATATCACATAACTACACTATCCTAAATCCAAATAATATCTATCTTTTATCTAAATACTATACTATCCTATATATAAATAATACTCTATGCTATATCTAAATAATATTCATTCCTATATCTAAATAATACTCTATCCTATATATAAATAATACTCTATGCTATATCCAAACAATACTTGTGACGGTTACCCCTGTAGAGTGAGGGTATCTACCGTCTGGACATCCTTCTTCCCATTAATGGGAAGAAGGATGTCCTTCGAACAGAGTCACCCCAGATAGCTATCCCATGGAGCTCATTTGTTTAACGAAAGACTATGAGAAAGACTTTGGCTCCATGGCGATTGAGCTGTGTGTATGGGATCTGAGCGCTATTTGGTAATATTGTGCGCTCAGATCCAGGCTATATGGGGATTCGTTGAATGTGGGAGTTCGGTTCATGAGTTTTAGAGTTGTATAATTTTATGTATTTTTATTAGCTGTATTAAAATGGAGATTATGCTCTATCCTCAGAGATAATTGAGTTACTTCCCAATTATCTCCAGGATAGAGTGGAGGGTCCACGTTGTCTAAAGGGGAGTGTTTTTTGCTAAACTGTTCTGATTGGTCACTGTACTATTTGTGTCCCTGTTTTCCACCAGGTCTCCTATGGGAGTGTCCACCTGGTGTGAGACCTGCATAAAAGGCGGGAAGGTAGCCCAGATTAAACAGATTCCTGCTTGCCCCTCAATACAGAGCCTCGTCTCGTACTTGGGATTTTTGTATGGTTTCCCTGTTTGGCTGTTTGGAGTGTTGATTATTCGTATATGTTTGCTTGTTCGGCTGAACAATACTCTATCCTATATCTAAATAATTCTCTATCCTTTACCTAAATAAATACTCTATCCTATATCTAAATAAATACTCTATCCTATATCTAAATAAATACTCTATCCTATATCTAAATACTATACTATCCTTTACCCTAATACTGCACTGTCTTATATCCAAATACTACACTCTCGTATGCCCACCCATATCATTTTTTTACTGATAGATGTAAAGCTATTATTGATTGTTTATAGACAAGTATCCTTAGTCCTTTAGTCCACAGCAAATTAATGGATCTGTCTGGGAAATGAATGACCACATTGATTCGCTTGGATCTTAAAATGCTTTTGATTGTTTTTGCATGAAGTTAATTTAACACGTTTATATGTGAGTTTTTCAGAATTCCTGATTATAGCTGTACAGCAGAGTCAGATACTGAGTAATGAAGGGATTTGACATCTTATCAATGAACGAACATGTAGAATGAGTGTAATAATATTAATGTAAGGATCAGTTTATTGATTCATGTCAGTTGGTTTAACGGAAGGCGATCACAGAGAAAGGCTGTACAAATAGGTGTGAAAATAAAAACATAGCTCTGATCATTTACAAACAGGACGGAGTGTTGTTTAAACACACTTTATCCAAGCATACCACCCCAGAATAAATATTACATACCAACCCCCCCTTCCCCAGCCCATTTATTCTGCATATAAGCCGTTACAAGTCACCCTAAGAGCTGACTCTCAGTGGCAGACTGTTACAGGTAAGATCTGTGTTGTTATATTATCTGATTCTAGTTGTTTTAAGGTATCAGCAGCGTTATAAGCCGACAGTTAATGAGATACAAAGCAAAGCTTTGACACCATGATGGAGAGTATTATTACACACAGAGCCATACGGCACTCTGGGAAGCCGAACAGACCCTCAGCACCACTGGTGATCCACGGCTGGGGAACCGCATATCCTCCAATATCCAACAAACAAAGTATCATCTGTAAGCTGCAATGTGAAGGACGGAGTTTATTGGGCGACTTACAGCGTGATATGATGGAAATGGTGAATTCCATGGGGTCCCCTGATGCCCAATAAACTCTTTTCTTGACACTACTCCTGCCAGCGCTGTCTGTTTGTTGCTTTAGATGTTGAATGTATCACGATATGTTCTTATAATCAGATCAGAAGTTCAGTTTTACATTGTGGAGAGTGTGAGAGAGATGAAGAGAAAGACAGAGAGAGTGAGACCGAGAGAGTGTTAGAGAGAGACAGAGAGAGTGATAAAGAGAGATGCAAAGAGAGACAGACGACAGAGGGAGAAAGCGAAGAGACAGACAGGCAGACGAGAGATGGAAAAAGAGAGATAGACAGGCAGATGAGAGATGGAAAAAGAGAGACAGACAGATGAGAGATGGAAAAAGAGAGACTGTCATGTGGTAAAAAAAGAAACTAGTTAGAAACTATGGTTAGATTTGCCACAATAAATACCCAGGGACTCCTTTTAAAAGATCAATTTTATTAGAATATTTGAAGAAACAGAGAATTGATGCTTGCAGTGTTCAAGAGACGCATTCGAGGAAGGTCCTTTCTGCGTCTCTTAAACACAATAAAAAAAGAGGGGTTGCTATATTGATATCCAAAAATGTGAATTTCCTAAATATATTTACAGAACAAGATACCGAGGGAAGATTTATTATAGTAGTCTGTGAGATTGACAACATTATATACACAATAACTAATCTCTATGCTCCAAACCATTCCTCATTACCATTTATAACTAAGGTTTTAAAAAGAATGGATGAGGTAAAACCAGGAATTCTGGTGCTCTGGGGAGATTTAAACTTAATATTTGACCCACTTTTAGATTAAAAAAAAAAACGCAATTTTCAGACAGTTAACTCAAAATTATTCTTTACTAGATATCTGGCGTATTTTCCACCCAACAGACTAGTTTTTCAAAATCTCACTTTGCATATTCTCGCATTGATTTTGTACTGGGAGATATCAAATTAGCCCAACGAATAAAAACAATTAAAATAAACGAGCTTGCATGGTCAGATCACAATGCAGTTATTCTGGATATTAAGGACACCTTTGAGATTCCAAAACCAGAATGGAGACTAAATAATTCTATTCTTTCAAATAAAAACAATATAGATTTCATTAAGAAACAGACAAATTATTATTTTAAAGAGAATCAATCTGACCAGATCCCCCCTTTGGGAATATGTTGCTCATATAAGGCAGTGATTAGGGGTTTATTAATTATAAGAATAGAGATTACAGAGAAAGAGATTTAACGAATCTGCAAATTCAACTATATAATCTCTCAAGAGATAACAAAATAGCTCCAAGTGAGCAGCTGTCAAATAGAATCTCTACCCTACAAGACAGGATTAACGAACTACTAATAATGAAAGTAAGCAAAACACTTGAAAGATTAAAGGCAACTTTTTACTACACAGGGAGTAGGGCAAATAAACTCTTAACTGACAGACTCAGAAGAGAAACTAAACAAACAAAAAATGTCTAAAATCTTATATAAGGGCGAGACCTGCCTCTCTCCAGAGAGAATAGGAAAGGCTTTTAATGATTATTATCATTCATTATATAATTTACCTCATAACCAATCGGACCCAAAAGATTACTTTAAAGATAAGATCATACCAAAGATTTCGGAATCTCAACTGAAGGAACTGAATGCCCCCAATTTCTCTACTTGAAATACACACAAGGATAGAGACACTGCGACCTAATAAAGGGCCAGGCCCAGGCGGGTTTCCCGGGATTTTTTATAGATTATTTAGGGATGAAATATCACCACACTTATAGACTACTTTTAATGAATTTATATTAAAAACTAAAATCCCGCAGGAAATTCTTAAGGGTAATATTGTCCCAATATTAAAATCAGGTAAGAACCCAGAAAAAGTAGACAGTTACCGGCCGATCTCTCTGTTAAATGAAGATATTAAGTTATACGCTGGAATATTGGCAGATGGGCCTAAAAATGAAGATACTTCCTGATATAAATTTAAATATACTGTCTGATCTAATGACAGATATAAACCTAGAAGTTTGGATTCAAAAAGGTATAAAAATGATATCCTATCTTCTAATAGGAAATAAACTGAAATCTTATGAACAACTCCAAACTGAATACAGTATTCCCGTGACCGAGTGGTTCAACTACATTAGGATAAAATCCTTTTTAGGCACGTTTTTAAAATCTAATCCTCTTGAGTTACCAGTTAAGCTTCTCTCACAAATATATGTGCAATCAGACTATACCCATCTGACTAGTAAATGTAAAAAAATAATATACAAGACTGAGGTTAAACCAATCCCCCCGGCAATTAGTAAATGGAATTCTGATTTGCAAAATGATATAACTATGAAAGAATGGAATAATTCCCTTAATACATTATACAAAGCTTGTCATTGCTTAAATATTCACGAAACCCATTATAAAATATTAAATAGATGGTATAGAACACCTCAAAAGATTGCAAAAATGTATCCTACATCGCCATTTAATTGTTGGAGATGTAATGAATCAATTGCGGATTTCAGACATTGGTGGTGGGATTGTCCGAAAATTAGACCTCTTTGGGAGAAATTAAATCAATACTTATCATCCTTATTGGAAATGAAGATTATATTAACCCCAAGTATGGCTCTACTACATATGGACATGACGGTGTTTAATAAAGAATTTAGACCCATTATTCTTCATATTTTAATGGCTGTGAAAACCTCAATAGCCAGAAATTGGAAATCCACCAATGTAGATAATTGGTCTAAGATTCATGCCCAAAGTATTGTGCAATGTATAATAGAAAGAGCCATTGCCAATTCTGCACCAAAAAAGGGCCACCACTATAGTTACTGGGACAGATGGGTAAAAAAAATGGATCTGAATAGTACATTTCTTTGTGTTTAGTTAATTATCTCTTCATGTCTTTCTTGTGCTAGATATTCGTTTTCCTTTTTTTCCTTTAGCTAAACAGTTTCTCCCGACTATGAGATTATTGGATAAGCCCCTTTTCCTCCCCTCCCCCCTCGAGCCTAATATTTTTTATTATTATTTTTTTACTGTGAACCAAGCAAATGTCTGTTTAAGTTAGTCTCTAAGTGTTTTTAGACGTTAGATGTTCAATAAAACAGAAGAAGTGGTTAGTTAATAAAAAGGGAAAGAAGAGGGGAAAATAAAGGGGTAAAGGAACGGTAGATAGAGAGAAAGGAAATAGAATGATATATAGATATAAATATATATTTGGATAAATAATAAAGAGAGAGAAAAGAGAACTAAATAATAGATATGATGATTTGGTATTTGATCCCCTCTATTATGATTACACGAGGTATGAAATGACAAATATCACATTCTGATGTATAATAAAAATAAATAAAAAAAAAGACAGACATGCAGACGAGAGATGGAATAAGAGAGACAGACATGCAGACGAGAGATGGAATAAGAGAGACAGACAGGCAGACGAGAGATGGAATAAGAGAGACAGACAGGCAGATGAGAGCGGGAGAGAGACAGACAGGCAGACGAGAGATGGAATAAGAGAGACAGACAGGCAGATGAGAGAGGGAGAGAGACAGACATGTAGACTGAGAGAGGGAGAGAGACAGACATGTAGACTGAGATAATGCCGTTTCTTTTTCAGAGTGTGGATCTTTCAGGACAGGATGGCGTTTGTCAAGAAAAGTCATTTCCTCCTGGCACTCAGTGAGTATAGTAGAGTTTAATATGAATATGTTTAACCCCTTAGGACACATGGCATGTGTGAAATGTCATGATTCCCTTTTGTTCCAGAAGTTTGGTCCTTAAGGGGTTAAAGACGTTACATTGTAAATTAGAGGCTCTAATGTTCATATGATTTTTTTTCTGCAGTTTTGGCTCTGACACTTGGCCGAGGATATTCAGAATCAGGTAAACTGTAACACAAATCCAATGTTTGTTATGAAACCTCTGGGGAGAGATGGCTGATTTACAATAACCTTAATGTTCCGTTGCTACAGGCATATTTGGGAGGTCTTTTATCACGATAGTCTGTATTTTTGGGTTTATTTAAGTTTCTCAGTGCACAGTATCGGGAGTATACCACGATATTCTAGATCTTTTTCTCGTCTCTCCATAATGACTGGGTAGTTAATGTGTGTCAGTCCATATCGTAGTATACTGCTCAGTTGGAGCCACTACCTCTATATCCACTTTTATGGGAAGAGACACTTATCCAGACAATACCATGTGACATGGGAATACGTAAATAATGTCTGCATTAACATCAGGATTTGTAAACACGTTTCACTTCTTGGCTTTATCCATGGCCTTTAGTCATATATGCTGAGCTTCCTATAAATGGAGATAGTGGACCACATGCTGGGAGGCTAAGCCAGAAGACTTGTTGAAAAAACTGTATTAATTCATGCATACATATTGCAAAATAATATGACAATGGCTAAAATGCATTTAATCTTTTATTGTAAACAAGAAAAATGTATGACTTTAAACAATTCAACTTTTATTGTTCTAATTTATTCATAGAATCTCTACTCTATCCATATGGACCGTCGGAGGGTGACCACAAGAATCCGGTGCAAGACGACGGGACGTCTGGTGAAGTTTCCATCTCAGTTGGTTTTAAATTCTTCAGTAAAGAATACACAACTTTGTTTGTAAGCATCATTCTCTTTAAATGCTGATAGAAACATTTAAATATATAAAGGGAATCAACTCAGTAAAGGAGGAGACTATATTTAAAAGAAGAAAAACTACCACAACAAGAGGACATAGTCTTAAATTAGAGGGGCAAAGGTTTAAAAATATCAGGAAGTATTACTTTGCTGAGACGGTAGTGGATGCCTGGAATAGCCTTCCAGCTGAAGTGGTAGAGGTTAACACAGTAAAGGAGTTTAAGCATGCGTGGGATAGGCATAAGGCTATCCTAGCTATAAGATAAGGCCAGGGACTAATGAAAGTATTTTGAAAATTGGGCAGACTAGATGGGCCGAATGGTTCTTATCTGCCGTCACATTCTATGTTTCTATGTTTCTAAATAGTTCCTTTTTTCTTTAGATGAGAGCACTGTAAACTAAGCCATGTTTCATAAACTAAAAAGAATACATATATTAATAGATTTATTGATCTCCAGGTAAATAATAACGGAGTGATTTCCTTTAAAACGGCCGTTTTCCAATACACTCCAGACGCTTTCCCCCTGACCAATGGAGAAACATTTGTGACCCCATTCTGGGGAGATGTGGACAACGAGCTGCATGGCGACGTATATTACCGGGAGAGCACAGACGACAATCTGTTAAAAATGATAACCAAAGATATGGAAAAGCATCTACCTGAGCAGCATTTCATTCCAACCTGGGCCTTTATAGCCACCTGGGACAAAGTGGCCTACTACGGGTCAGCATCTGAAAAGGTGGGCTCAGCTTGTTTCAATGTAACCTTTCAAAGATTCAATTAAAAAAATGTAAAATTGAATTGGGACAGAATAACTAGAATCTCAAAACAAAACCAACTAACATGCACACACTTGAACACAAAAACACACACACTCACCACTACGGTACTAAAAGGGACTAGCTACACCACATCTGCAAAAATAGAGTTTCACTTTGGATGTCTGCATGACATTATGCTGCTATGGACGGTTTCTTTTTTTTTAATTCAATTTTTTTAGAAAAATAAATACAGGAATTATATAACGTGTCTACGTTGGTGTTACATCACAGTGCGCCAAGCCGGTAATGGTCCAGTTAGATTGCAATATCGGTTGGTAACACCTCCAGGGACCATAAAACAGTGGTAACTAAGTACATAGCTTGGCTAGTCAAAACAAGTCTTCTAGATGCTATACAATGTAGACACCTGTAGCAGGTTATACATTAAATAACTGTAACCGTTCCGTGATGCAGGAAGATGGTGGCATTCCAGAAAATCGATAGTGAATGAGTTATTTACTAATCTGGAATGTGAAGGGATTTTAACATTTTATTCCAAAACAACTAAATTAGCAAGATTTCACAATAAGCATAATTTTAGCAAAATCACGTCTCTTGTAAATTCTGACATTTCTCAGCAGACCTGAATAAAGTCTATGTGGGTAAAACCTGATCAATGAAAGTAGGAAACCAAATCAGGAGAGCTATCATCTGAGTACTGAGTTTATACCTTAGTTAACATGAGAATTGGGTTTGTGGTTGGAATATGTTCATTTTCTATGGATTTTGCCCAGCCGGACATAATCTAGTGTTTAGTGCATAACCCCAAGAAGGCGAACATCTTGGAATCTCATGCATATTTTTCTGACCCTGATAATTACTGATTGGCTAGCTAAACCATGTGACTTCTGTAGCCAATCAAAATTTGAGCTTCTAACAGATAAGATATTTATCTTTCAACATTCACTGCACAGCGAGGAGAAAATGTTTATTTGGCTAGTCTAATTAAAAAAAAAAGGGGGGCGGGTCCGGATCGCCGAGCTGGACGGTCGCAAGCAAGACCAGCTCCTGCAACGTTATCAACGTTAAAGCTTTTAAAACATGACTTTTTAAGTAAAAGCAGACCAACTGCAATGGTCCTCAGTGCAAAGGGAACACTGAATCCAGGGAGAGGCTGGCTCCTCAAGTTTCAGTCCCCTAGAGGAGAAATCTTCAATGTCCCAGTTGGGGCCTTCTCCGGCGGTGAGTGGGGCAGATGGCTGCTGCCCCGCTATCCTGCCTAACAGAACCCAGCCAGAGGCCCAAACCGCGTGACCCTGGCCCTGTTCCCCCCCCCCTCTGGACCGGTGGGGGTGATCCCGGTCCTCACCCTATGGCCCCGACCGCGGAACTGCAAGCAAGGCGCAGCAACAACACCACCTTGATCTGCGGCCCAAGCGCTGCATCTTATTCTGGAGAAAAAACGACCTTAATTTAGTTTAATAAAATGTTAAGTGATGGGCAGATCCTTATAATATAACTATGATATTATTTGCTTATGAATGATCTGAAATCATCTATTCACAGCTTGAAAACACTCAGGAAGCAGAACAGCGTGTACATTATTCTACAAAAACAGCTTAATTTATTTAGTAAGCACATTAAAATAAATTCCCCCTCTTGCTAAATAATGAAATGATTAGTATTACTAAAAGAATATCATTAATCTCGATTATGGAGAAAGTGACATATTTAGGTGTTTATATTTAAATGAAATTGTTTATTGTTAGAAGGCTATTTCTAAGCATTATTTACAGCAAGAAGGGGTTTGCTTTTATGGGGGCTGGTGAGCTTACACTTCATTTCCCACTGTCCTCTGCTATTTAAATGTCAGTATTCTTCTTTGCTTCTATTTTATATATTGGATTGATATATTAGCCATTGCTGCTGCCCAGGGCTTAATTCTGTGTCTTTATATTTACACCAACGCCCAGTTTAACACATTCCAAGCTGCTCTCACAACCGATGGCTTCAGATACTTTGTCATCATGAACTATGACGACATCCAGTGGACGACCGGAACAGCTAGTGATGGGGACCCTGAAACAGGATTGGGGGGAACGCCAGCTCAGGTACTGTATTACCGAGAATGTTCTACTTGTTAATAGTTGTGACTTCTCTAAATAACAAGAACAGAAACTATAAAAGTGTAACATACAAGATCCAGCGCATAAAACCCCCACCCACTGTTAGTTCGTTTGAGCAAGGGCCTCTTCAACATATCGTTCCTGTAAGTTTTCTTGTAATTGTCCTATTTATAGTTAAATCCCCCCTCTCATAATATTGTAAAGCGCTACGGAATCTGTTGGCGCTATATAAATGGCAATAATAATAATAAAAACGGGAATTTCAAAGTTTACAGATTATAATGGGTTTTTTTTGTTTGTTTTTTAAAACAGCTAACCTAGGCAAAACTAATGGTGGTTTGGTTAGAGTATGTGGTCATTAACCTGCCACAACGTCAATGTACCCCACAGGGCCAGATTAAGAGCCCAGTGGGCCTGGTGCTGACAATTATGAGGGGCCTAATTACAGAATCATATCGACCAAAAACAGTAAAACACTCCCAAGCATCATGTATCTGATGGAGATGGAGATGGTGCTGGAGAGAAAGAAAACAGCAGCTATAAGAAAACACATACCCTAGGCTAATCTCTCTCTAATTTATGTTTTCATCTTTCAAGTAATCCATAACCCCTAACAGCTGTGTCCAGTCAAGCAGGAAGTCAATGGGCATGGTAAAAGGGTGTGCCACTGACACAAATCACGTAACCTGCCAAAAGGGGCAAACATGCCCAAAAAGAGGACATGTCTGCTCAAAGAATTAGAAGGCCACCCTGGCATGAATGCATGTCAGACTGCCTGCCAATCATGCAGCTAGCCAACTAAGGGCATACTATGCAGACAGCACCCTGAGCTTGGCATAAATGCATCTAATGATGCGCTCACTCAACGCTTTCTAAGGACCGTCCCCTAGCACTCGCTCGTCCACTTGTCTCCTTACCTTCTTACTAGCAGGCAGAAGCTCCTGGTATATGGTCTGGGACAGAGAAAAGCTGTATGTAGCGAGTGTAGAAGAAAGGGAACATGCCACAGTGTTAGAGAGACCAAAGTCAGCATTACCTTAAAGGATCACTATAGGGTCAGGAACACAAACATGAATTCATGACCATATAGTGTTAACACCACCATCTAGCCCCCTGGGCCCCACATGTCTCCATAAATATAGCAAAATCCTACTATATTCAAGCCTGAAGCTGTAACTCTGCATGCTGTTAGGCTCATAAAAACAAGCAGTCTGCTGACATCATTAGAAGTGGTGGCCTGATCCAATCACAGTGCTTTCCCATAGGATTGGCTGAGACTGACAAAGAGGCAGATCAGGATCAGAGCCAGCATGATTCAAACACAGCCCTGGCCAATCAGCATCTCCTTATATAGATTAATGTAATTAATGAATCTCTATGAGGAAAGTTCAGTGTCTGCATGCAGAGGGAGGAGATACTGAATGTTTGGATTCATTTTAGGCAGCCATGACCCAGGGAGGATCTCTAACAGTCATCTAAGGAGTGGCCAGTGAAGTTATCACTAGGCTGTAATGTAAACACTGCATTTTCTCTGAAAAGACAGTGTTTACAGCAAAAAGCCTGAAGGTAATGATTCTACTCACCAGAACAAATTCAATAAGCTGTAGTTGTTCTGGTGACTCTAGTGTCCCTTTAACTATATTCATTGTCAGCCAGTCCACACAAGTTTTGTTCCCATACATCCCTCTTAAGTTTCCATACTTAAGTAAGAGTATGTGAAAAGTAGTTAGGGTTGCCACCTTTCTTGGAAAAACATACCGGCCTTGCTAATTTGCATAATTAAATATGTATGGGTGACATCACATGATGTAAATCACAAGGAGTGACATAAGAGAAAATGCTGTAAAATCACCAAAAAACTACTTAGTTTAAATCTGCTGTATAGATGGATTCCTCCCAGTGCCCCCATGTCTCCCAGTGCCCTCATGACTCAGTGCCCCCATGTGTCGATTACTCCAGGTCTCAGTGTTCCTTTGTATCAGTGTCTCAGTGCCCCATGTCTCCCAGTGTCCCCTAATTGTGTCCCCAGGTCTCCCAGTGATCCTATGTATCAGTGTCTCAATGCCCCATGTCTCCCTGTGTCCCCATGTATCCCAGGGTCCCCATGTCACTAGGACACTAGGAAGACGGGGAGACCTGGGGACACGGGGAGACCTAGGGACAAGGAGACACCAGTGACACTGGGAGACTAAGGGGACACATGGGGACAATGGGAAAATAGGGGACACTTGAAGACATGAGGACACAGACACCAGGGACAAAGATACTAGAGACACTGACTGGGGGACATGGGGATATTGAGACATGGGGGCACTGGGAGACATGGGGACACTGAGACACCAGGGCCACAGACACTAGGAACACTAGCTTGGGGACATTGTGACACTTGAGGCACTGAGAGACATTGAGGCAATAGGAGACATGGGGATAGTGAGACACTGGCAGACTGTGGGCACTGGCAGACTGTGGGCACTGGGAGACTAGGGGTCACTGGGAGACTAGGGGGCACTGAGACACCAGGGACACTGGCTGGGGGACATGGGGTCCCCATGTGTCTGTGCCATAATGTCTCCCAATGTCCCTTAGTGTCTCAGTGTCTGCCATAATATCTCCCAATGTCCCTTAGTGTCTCAGTGTCTGCCATAATGTATCTCCCAATGTCCCTTAGTGTCTCAGTGTCTGCCATAATGTCTCCCAATGTCCCTTAGTGTCTCAGTGTCCCCATGTCTCCCAGTGTCCCTTAGTGTCTCAGTGTCTGCCATAATGTCTCCCATGTCCCTTAGAGTCTCAGTGTCCCCATGTCTCCCAGTGTCTGCCATAATGTCTCCCAGTGCCCCTTAGTGTCTCAGTGTATGTCTCCTTGCAGCCTTTTCCCCCATCCCTTACTTCCCTGAGCTGTAGGCTGTTTCTGCAGGGTGGGAGTTGCTGTCTGGACTCTCTGTAGCTGCACCCCTGCAGATCAGTGAGTATAGATAGGCAGGGAGGGATATGCTGGAACTTCCTATCCCTGCCTGTCTCCACATACAGTGACCCCTACTGGCCAGTGCTGGTATTGCAGAGTAATCTCCATTTATACTGAGAAAAATACCAGCATTTATATTGCCAGTATCACTGCAATATTGGCACCAGCCAGGCAGCCTCAAATACTGGCTGTGCCAATAAAATAAAAGCCATGTGGAATCCCTAAAAGTAGTGTGTGAAAAAAAAAAAAAAAAAAAAAAAAATTTTTTTTTTTTTTTTTTAAATCAATGGGCCTATTCCATGGGCCTGGGCCTGGAGCTGCAGCTCCATCAGCCCCTATGTTAATCCGGCCCTGGTACCCCACCATAGCAACCTACTGTCTGGTCTTATGAGAAAAGCATACTCTAAACGTGTTTGCCTCGCTTCTAACAGGCTGGATTCAATAGTGGTGATGTATCACACTACTTCAATATCCCTGGGTCCAGAACGGCAGAGGTCTTGAAGATCAAGTCAACCTCTAATGTCAACTATCCTGGTCGATGGATCTTTAGAGTCGATAATTTTGAAGTTCCTGGTGGATGTGTGTATAAAGGTGAGTAAACTGTATAATTAAATTATTTGGCAATCCACCAACGTTTTTTAAATATAATTTTGGATTTTTCTCACAGTTTAAATTATTGTAAATTATTTCAGATCCCGGTAGATGTTTGAATTTATTAATTTGCATATTTTTTTGTTGTTTAAATGTTTTTAAATCTGTTTTTCCTGTTATCATTATACCGATAAAATCCATTGAAACCATTTATGCTGTAAATATTATTTAACCCCTCAGTGACCAGACCGCTTTTCAATTCTCTTACTGTTTGGGACCAGGGCTGTTTTTACATTTCTGTGGTGGTTGTGTTTAGCTGTAATTTTCCTCTTACTCATTTACTGCACCCACACATATTATATACCGTTTTTCTAGACATTAAATGGTCTTTCTAAAGATACCATTATCATCATCATATCATATAATTTACTATGAACAAAATTATAAAATATGATTAAAAAAAATGTAAAAAAAACACACTTTTTCAAACTTTGATCCCCAAAATCTGTTACGCATCTACTACCGCCAAAAAAACACCCGTGCTAAATAGTTTCTAAATTTTGTTTGGAGTCTAGAAATACCCAATGTTAACATGTTCTTAGCTTTTTTTTTTTTTTGCAAGTTATAGGGCAAAAAGTACAAGTAGCACTTTGCTATTTCCAAACCATTTTTTTGTTTTCAAAATTTACTCAAGTTACATTGTAACACTGATATCTGTCAGGAATCCCTGAATAACCCTTCACATGTATGTATTTTTTAAAAGAAGACAACCTAAGATGTTAAACTTGTGATATTTTGACTCTTTTCATGCAACTATTTTATCAACAATCTGCCAAATTAAAAAAAAATTATAATAATTGGTGATTTTTTTTGACACACTTAGTAGTTTAAGAATGTACATGTACTGAGAACTTTAAGGGTTACTGCCAAAGAACACCCCAATATGTGTTCAGCAACATCTCCTGAGTACAGTGATACCCCCCATGTATAGGTGTGTCGGGTTCTCTGGGGGCTAAAATACCTTATTTGGAGGGTGCGCATTAAGTTTTCCAACTTGGAATTTTCACAGCTGGTCATCATGCACCCATGTCCTATTTGGGACATTTGTGAAGCCGCCAATGTAACTTACCCCCATTAAACCCTTTTTTTTAGTAGATAACCCACTGTATTCAAAATGGGGTATATCCAGTCTTTTTAGTAGCCACTTAGTCACAAACCCTGGCCAAAATTAGCCTTTATATTTGGTTTTTTTTGCATCTTTTACACATAAACTGCCATTTCACTGATGATATTATCAGTATAATACATGTTACTGCTCTAAAACACTCATATTTGTGTTGAGTAATATCTCACGAGTACAACGGTAACCCTCAAGTACAGGTTTTATAGTGATTTAGAAAGTTACAGGGTCAAACTTAAGATTTGCCTATTTCTGTTTTTGTAAATTGCTATTGTTGCCTAGAAATGAAAATTAACCCCACCGTGACATACCATTTGAAAAAGTAGACAACCCAGGGTATTCAAAATGGGGAATGTCCAGTCTTTTGTAGTAGCCACTTACAGTGGCGTCTCTAGGATTCATTTTTAGGGGGGCACATGGTGGGCCAGGGACCAAAGTAGGGGGGCACATTTAACCCCGACTGCTGAGTCCACAGACACACAGACTGCTGAGTCCACACACACACACACACACACACAGACTGCTGAGTCCATACAAACACACACACGGACTGCTGAGTCCATACATACAGACTGCTGAGTCCACAGACACACAGACTGCTGAGTCCATTCACACACACACATACATACACACACACAGAGACTGCTGAATCCACACACACACACACACACACACACACAGACTGCTGAATCCATACACACACACACACACACACACACACACACACAGACTGCTGAGTCCACACACACACACACACACAGACTGCTGAGTCCACACACACACACACACACACACAGACTGCTGAGTCCATACACACACACACACATACATACACACACACACAGAGACTGCTGAGTCCATACACACACACATACATACACACACACACACAGACTGCTGAGTCCACACACACACACACACACAGACTGCTGAGTCCATACAAACACAGACACACGGACTGCTGAGTCCATACACACATACACACAGACTGCTGAGTCCATACACACAGACAGACTGCTGAGTCCACAGACACACAGACTGCTGAGTCCATACACACACACACATACATACATAAACACACATACACTGCTGAGTCCATACACACACACACAGACTGCTGAGTCCATACACACACACACATACATACACACACACACACAGACTGCTGAGTCCATACACACACACACACACACACACACAGACTGCTGAGTCCATACACACACACACACAGCCTACTTGTCACTGGAGGCTGTTGCTGGGGGTCAGACAGCCATCTTCTTGTTTTTCCAACAACAGCATGGTCTGCTGCTTAACAATGGGCGGGGCTTATGTGCGGGAGGCAGGGCTTCGTTTGGGGGCAGGGCCTGTGCCGAGGAAGCTGCTGTCTCCACAGACAGCACCCAGCGCTCCAGCTGCTCTGTCCTGCATTCCCTCCCTCGGGCTGTCACACACTCACACACTGTTACAGTCCGAAGGAATATAATGTAAGAACATGGCCAGCAAGTTGCCGGCATTTGGGGGGGGGCACATGATGTAGGGGGAGCCATGGCCCCCTCTGCCCCCCCCTAGCGACGCCACTGGCCACTTAGTCGCAAACACTGGCCAAATTTAGCGTTCATATTAGTTTTTTGCATTTTTCACACACAAACAAATATAAATGCTAACTTTGGCCAGTGTTTGTTACTAAGTGGCTAAGATTTTACTATATTTAGGGTTAGGGAGGCAAGAGGGGTGGCAGAGTGGATAGATGTTGGTTTTAACACTATAGGGTCAGGAATACATGTTTGCGTTCCTGACCGTGTAGTGCTCTTTTAATAAACACAATTTAAGATTTAAACACTCTCTGTTCGATGAAAACCACAAAGGCGGGCTAGCATGTGTTTATCACAGTAACAGAGTTCTAGAAATATCACTTACTGAAATATTAATTAAATATTGTTTAATCTTAAGCGATTTTGACTTTAATTTAGATTGTGCTAGAAGATAAAAACACAATAATAAAAAGCTCTTAATAGTTCCATTCTGTCATTAGTTTGGATCTGTCAGTACCTCTGTCCTGTCAATAGTTTGGATCTATTAGGACCTCTGTCCTGTCATTAGTTTGGATCTGTCAGTATCTCTGTTCTTGTCAGTACCTCTGTCCTGTCAATAATTCGGATCTGTCAGTACCTCTGTTCTTGTCAGTACCTGTGTCCTGTCAGTAATTTGGATCTGTCTGTACCTCTGTCATGTCAGTAGTTCGGATCGGTCAGTACCTCTGTCCTGTTAGCAGTTTGGATCTGTCAGTACCTCTGTCCTGTCAGTTGTTCAGATCTGTCAGTACCTCTGTCCTGTCTGTTGTTCAGATCTGTCAGTAGCTTTGTCCTGTCAGTATTTCGGATCTGTTAGTACCTCTGTCCTGTCAGTAATTTGGATCTGTCTGTACCTCTGTCATGTCAGTAGTTCGGATCGGTCAGTACCTCTGTCCTGTTAGCAGTTTGGATCTGTCAATACCTCTGTCCTGTCAGGAGTTTGGATCTGTCAATACCTCTGTCCTGTCAGGAGTTTGGATCTGTCAATACCTCTGTCCTGTCAGTATTTCGGATCTGTCAGTACCTCTGTCCTGTCAGTTGTTCAGATCTGTCAGTAGCTTTGTCCTGTCAGTATTTCGGATCTGTTAGTACCTCTGTCCTGTCAGTTGTGTTAATCTGTCAGTACCTCTGTACTGTCAATCCATGAGTAACTACAAGCTCTACAAGTTGCAGTTTTGCTCCATTCATAGTATTTCTGGGTAACACAATATATTTCTTTCCCCTGACAGCATACTTTGCTAAAGAAGGTGAAGAGTTTTGGAAGGACTCCGGCTGCAGAACCAAGTGTCGGTGTGAAAGTGACGGGGATATCCCTTGTGTGGACGAAGCTTGTCCCCCAACTGCCACTTGTGAACCCTCAGGATCATTTTACAAGTGCCAAGAAAAAGAGAATTCTTGTAATTAGAATATTTAAAAAATGTATTTCTAAACTACTAAAAATTTCAAAGAGACATAAATCCTCCTCCCAGACCCACCACTTGTAACCAACCTTCACACACTCAACACCAAGTAAAGGCCCTTGTGAAAAGCCATTAACCATATTCTTTAATAAATGATGCATCAGAGATCATAAGGGTTCTTCACTATTGTGTGAATTCACTCTCAATAGACACTGTGGCAGACCACCTGGCACCCCGACTGGGTGCCTCCACCAATCGATGCTTCCTAGTGCTCACCGAGTACTCCAAGCACTCCACCAGACACCATAACCACTGTAAACCCCGCAGCCAGTGTTACAGCTTGGCTGGGCTCTCGTTGTCCTCCATCCACCCTCCAAGACGAGGATCCAGTTTCCAGTGGGTGGACCTCTCCCAATCCAGAGAGTAAAGCAGGATAGCTCTTACAAGAGATGGTGATTATAATCCAAGGGAGTATAGTGGTATAGCAATCCCCAGAGTGAATATAGCTGTTCCCTCCACACAGGCTCTATGTTGAGGGTGAAGAGGAACTGGTTTAATGGGAGCCACATGCAGCCTTATATGCAACTCCTCATGCAAGGGGTTTCTGGATACATATTCCGGGGCATTCCGCTCTGTACCTGAGAGGAGACTACAGTAAAACATACATATAATTACATTGGCTCTCAGGTCCAGGACACTCCCACACAAAACAGGATAATCCCTCCCCTGTGCCTGAGAGATAAATGAGTCAGGAACTGTACTAAATTCAATTATCTCCAGTCACAGAAAATATACATTTTAACATCCTAAAAGTACCCTCAAAACACATGAAACCCCTCATGCCATGATAGCCCCGATGTGGGGAACCAACATATCCAGGAATAACCCAGATCGGTTCAGAGGTTCGGGACCGACCATGCACATGGTTCTATGCCCCAAACAGTTCCAGGGAATCAGGGTTAACGGTCGGCCTCTCTTTCTGGAGTACAAAAGTACATAAATCAAATGAACGGAGCCTTTTAAAGTGCATTGGGCAAGGTATATTGCAGGGCCCATAGTCCTGAGGCAGGAGGCTGGCAAGCAGGCTCCTCCAGGAGCCTGGGGTGAGGTTCTGTTCGTCACAGACACGTCTGTATGAAACTTCTACCAGGTAATTTCTTCCTATCCCTTTACGTTATCTCCCACTTGTCTCTCCACCGTGGCCTCTATCCCACAGCTTGGAGAATATTCCTGGTTGGCACTACCAAGACATTACCTTGGATTGAGAGCAATGAAAAACCTAGAACAGTGATATCTAAACCCCCAGCCACCTGTTGTGATGTAACAAGGTTACACAGGAGGATGGGGTCTCGGAGGGAGCCAGATGTCTCTTTGTAATTGTGAAGTAGTTATATAGGGGGATGGGGTCACGGAGGGAGCCAGATGTCTCTTTGTAATTGTGAAGTAGTTATATAGGCTAATGGGGTTACAGAGGGAGACAGATGTCTCTTTATAATTGTAGTTATATAGGGGAGTAGTAGTAGTTATATAGGGGAATGGGGTCACAGAGGGAGCCAGATGTCTCTTTGTAATTGTGAAGTAGTTATATAGGGGGATGGGGGTCACAGAGGGAGCCAGATGTCTCTTTGTAATGGTGGAGTAGTTATATAGGGGGATGGGGTCACGGTGGGAGCCAGATGTCTCTTTGTAATTGTGGAGTAGTTATATAGGGGGATGGGGTCACGGTGGGAGCCAGATGTCTCTTTGTAATTGTGGAGTAGTTATATAGGGGATGGGGTCACAGAGGGAGCCAGATGTCTCTTTGTAATGGTGGAGTAGTTATATAGGGGGATGGGGTCACAGAGGGAGCCAGATGTCTCTTTGTAATGGTGGAGTAGTTATATAGGGGATGGGGTCACAGAGGGAGCCAGATGTCTCTTTGTAATGGTGGAGTAGTTATATAGGGGAATGGGGTCTCGGAGAGAGCCAGATGTCTCTTTGTAATTGTGAAGTAGTTACATAGGAGGATGGGGTCTCGGAGGGAGCCAGATGTCTCTTTGTAATTGTGGAGTAGTTATATAGGGGATGGGGTCACAGAGGGAGCCAGATGTCTCTTTGTAATTGTGGAGTAGTTATATAGGGGAATGGGGTCTCGGAGAGAGACAGATGTCTCTTTGTAATTGTGAAGTAGTTATATAGGGGGATGGGGTCACAGAGGGAGCCAGATGTCTCTTTGTAATGGTGGAGTAGTTATATAGGGGATGGGGTCACAGAGGGAGCCAGATGTCTCTTTGTAATTGTGGAGTAGTTATATAGGGGAATGGGGTCTCAGAGAGAGACAGATGTCTCTTTGTAATTGTGAAGTAGTTATATAGGGGGATGGGGTCACGGTGGGAGCCAGATGTCTCTTTGTAATTGTGAAGTAGTTATATGGGGGATGAGGTCACAGAGGGAGCCAGATGTCTCTTTGTAATTGTGAAGTAGTTATATATCGGATGGGGTCATGGTGGGAGCTAGATGTCTCTTTGTAATTGTGAAGTAGTGGAGATGAACTTCTTTAAAAAACTTCTTTCACTCTCTGAAAATCTGTCGAGATTTAGTACCCATAGCACAAACTTCTTTAACTGCAAATTTATACGAAATAAATAATTGCTGACACATTGTGTGTGGTGATGTTTGTTTATTACCCCTGGTTTATCAGTAAGTTACCATCGATAAACTTTTGTGTGCAGGTAGTGGTTACTGTGTGGTGCGACCAACCTTTTTTGCCAACCAATTTCCCCCCAATAAAACCAGAGACATTTTTGTGATATAAAACAGGCCACAGCTTTATTTATAAATTAGCAAATATTATTTTCAACCAATAAATAACATTATTAACCATATCAACATGATATACATATATATATTTTAACCGCAGACTCGTCCTTGCCAAACCATTCCATCACCAAATCAGAGTACTCCTGGGCACCTGCACTCCCCCCTCATCCAAAACACCACATGGCCTCCAACCTAGCCCTAACTTACCACCATGCTAACCACTGGCCGACCTTATGGCTCAGTGGGCACATCCGAATGTCCAAACATTTACCAGAGGTTAGGGGAGGTACCAGACACAACCTTCGTTCTTCCCTGTGTACTCTTCCTCCACCCCGGCTTGCAAGGACCATACCCGCCACTAGCCCCGCTGTTTTACCACTAAATCAGCGGGCACGACCCCAACCAACACCACAGCCTGTTCTAATGCATCTTGCAGCGCTAAATTAAACAAATCAAGTCAGGTGGACCCCATCAGAGGGGAAATAAGCCGCTGCATTCTGCTAAAATATGCGGTGCCGAACCGTCAGACCCCCAACACTCAACACAAATTTGGAAACCTGCTTGTTGACTTTAATTCTGCAGTGCTCTATGGCCCTTTGATCGTGCATGCACTTCATATATATATACGGGCCACCATCTCAGACCAGACCACACAGACCCATGGGTAAAGCACCAGCAAGCGTGCAAGATCCCGCTTAATTAGATCCCCCAGGTCCCACGCTGGCAGCGCTCCCAGATTGTTGCCCCCGAGGTGTATGACCAAAATGTCCGGGGCCCCCAAAGATTAGAAAGCTGTACAATTTCCAGAAGTAACTGGCCCCATCACCACTCCTTCCACATTCGCCGACTCCATGGAAAGGCCGAGACGAGTACCTCCAGGCCGTACCCCGGCCCTAAGATGGGCCCAATAAACGTAGGAATGGCTGATTAACCAGACCCTTCAGCCGGACCCTGTGGAGAGAACACAGGGGAAAAGGCAATCAGCCTGGTTGGGCGTACATAGGACCTAAACCTTCCCAAATCCCATCTACCAATCCTCTGAATAGCCTGTTCGGAGAAACCCAGACGAGAGGCTTGAGTCACTGCCCCAATCCGGAAGGAGTGACCGCCAAAGTCCCTGCCCGGAATGCCCAGCTGCTCCAGCGCCATCCGAAAGACCCTAACCTGTGGGCAAACCGAACAATAACCTTGGAAGCACCAGACAGGGCATACCCCCGACCCCGAGATTGCCCAGATGGTGACCAAAACCCACGGCCGCAAACATCGGTTTTTGACCCCCGCAAGAGGAACTGAATCAGCCCTTCCACGCTTGATACATCCGTAAATCGAATCCTCCCCCTCCCCCCGGCACCCGTTTACTGTGACTCAACAACTCCCAAATCCTCAGAGCCCCGAAAAAGGCAAATGTAAACGCCACCCAGAACAACTTTACTTCGAAATCCGATAGACAAATTTGAGGAAGGACCGACACAATCCCCAGTAGTAGTCTCCTGAAACCGGTCTGCGAGAGTCATGAATGCTTGGCCCTCTACGCCAACCCCTCATCACCAAGGTAACCAGGCAGTCCTTGGTGATGTCCGGAACCCTGGTCAACTTGAACTGTAACCGCGGCTGGTTCCCTTATTTACCACTATAATGTCTTAAAGAATAGAACTTAGTAGGGCTAATCATACAGATATGTTAGCCATAATTTTATTTCGTTAGTGTAAGAGATTCTCTATAAATAATTGAGAATACAAAATAAAATAAGGATTGTCTTGGAAGCAATAGTTTTGTCTTTTAGATATTTATTATATAAAAATATAAATATAGACATATAAAATCCATTATAGCAGAGTTTATAAGATTAAACTAAATGCTTGCAAATATCATTAATAGGTTAACATACCCTTCTGAACATGTCATCATGTCAGCCTCTCTGTCATTTTAAGATAGAGCAGCATCTGTCTCCAAGTCTCTCCTCTGTGCCTTAACATTTAAAAGTACACCTATTTATACCTTAGGTGTCTCCATTTTAGGGTCACCGTAGTTCATATATGAAAAAGTAACTTTTTTACTTTATTCATTTTAGGACCTCCCTTAACTTGGCAAAAATACAAGTCCATAACTAAAGGGTGTATACGTCATGGAAATTTTCCTGACTTAGTTCAAGATGGCATCTTAAAGTCTGAACATCCTTATCTACTAAGGTTACCACAGTATATTGTGTACTGAAAGAGTCGTAGCATAGCCTTGAAGCTTGTTTATGCATTATTGTTATTGTAATTCGTCTGGGACAAAGTGGCGTAAATATATTATGCACTGAGGTTATTGCTTAAAGAAACATCTATGAAAAACAATATGTTCCATTTCTAACACCTTATCAGTTTGCAATATCTCTTAAAGACAAAGTACACAGTTTAAGAAATACAACATTTCATTCTAAAACTTGTAATATTTGCATTTGCCCATAACAGAACCAAAAGCTAAGATCCGACAATTTGCCCCGAGACTGACACAGGCAAGCACCCCTTGGCCTCCCAAAACCAGAGCAGGCGCAAGAAACCCTGGACCCGGCCCTCGACCGAGCCAAAGCCCCCAAACTCCTGCTCCATGGCCAACCAGTCTCCCCACGTCTTACCATACCGGGACCAAGTTTCTTCCGATACCGATGACCGAATCCACACACTCACTCGCAGACCAAGAGACCACAGTTCCACTGGGGACCACAGTTCCGCTTCCGGCGCAGCCACCTGAAACACCTGCCACTGCAAACGAGAAAGAGCCTCTGCTGTGATATTCGTCATGTCCGGAATGTGCACAGCTCAACAAGATACATTTAAGGACATGCAGCTCGATACTAGATAACGCAACAGCCGGACCACAGGAGGGGAGGAGGCGTCAGGTTGTTAATGGCCAAGACCACTCCTAAATTGTCACAATGGAGTACGACACTCCGGTCCCAAAGGACTGTCCCACACAGATGAACTGCTACGACAATCGGGAACAACTCCAGGAACGCTAGGTTCCTAGTCAGACCTGAAGAATGCCATGGCCAGGACTCTGCACACCAATGCGTACCAAGTATGGCACCAAACCCCACGGACCCCGCCTCATCTGTGAACAGATGGAGCACTGAATGCTGAACTTCTGGCTGTTGCCAGTAGGGCCTACCATTGTACCCGTCGAGAAAAGCACCCCATACCGCCAGATCTTCCCTAAGCACCCGAGTTAGGCGCACAAAGTGGTGTGGCTTCGTAATCCCTGTCGTAGCCACAGCCAAACGGTGATTGAATATCCTGCCCATAGTCATGATCCGGCACGCAAAGTTCAATTTGCCCAAGAGTGATTGCAACCTTTGCAGTGTTATTTTTCGAAGGACCTTCACCTCCTTAACCTCCCCTCGCATATCCCGCACCTTATCCAAGGGCAGGTGGCATTCCCTGTTTACTGAATCAATCTCGATCCTGAGAAAGCTCAAACACATCGTGGGGCCCACTGTTTTGTTTGGGCCAACAGGACCCCGAAAGAACAAGCCTCGTCCACAGCAGATTGCAGGAGCTGGGCACACACCTGTGACTGGGCAGGACCCACACACAGGAAATCATCAAGGTCGTGAAGAACGACGTTGTGACCTGACTCCACTTTTACCACCCATTCCAAAAAGGAACTGAAGCATTCAAAATAAAAACACGAAATTGCGCACTCCATCGGAAGGCACATATCCACATAGAAATGCCCTTCGAAGGCTCAACCCAGGAGGTGATGACACTCCGGGTGAACTAGGAGGAGACGATTTTACATCGCTTTTAGCCACCGGACCCGCGTCTTTCACCATCCCTACTACCACATCAAACTCCGCTGTGATGTCATCATTCACCAAACCCCCATGAGGATCCGACAAATGATGAGTCAATCTAAATTTTCCCAGTTCCTTCTTGTGGTGGGACCCACCGCACCCTGAGCACTCGTGTTTAAATCTACAGCCAGCGCCGAACTTGCACTGGTTGTCATTGTACTGCCAACAACATCCCGCTCTGCGCTGACCAGCCGACGCGGCGGGGAAGTCCCCTTCGCCAGCTCCCCCGAGAAAAGACAAGATTCCTCCGTGGTGTGAGGCTGGGTGAGTCATGATTGCCAGCCACAGACCAATGTTCATTTGGTCCCAGCCAGTAGAAGGGCGGACCGACAACTGTTGGCGGAACTGCTCGTCGTACCGCCACCATCCCAGTCCCCCGTAGACCCGACACGCATTCCAAATAAGATCCTGGTAGAAAAAAAAGGGAAGAGCATTTCTCTGGGGCTTTTTCCCCAATCACGCTGGATGGAAAAGGCCAGAATCCAGTTAACAAAGGTTTTCGGTATTTTCCTATACTGGAAACGCTCCTTCTCCTTGTCAGCCTCCTTAGCATCCTTGTCCACCTGCGGCAATTCTTCCAATGGGAAGAGGGAATAAATCTCCACAAACTCCCCATTCCAAATCTTTTCCCGCACCTCCGACTTCAAGTGCAGGCCCTGTGGGCCGGACCAGCACATGTAAGCTGCTCCATGGGCAGGCGGGGCCAACTTACAATTGGAGAAGCCCAGTAGGTACAGGCCCAGGGGAGACAGAGGGCAAAGCAAGAGGGGAAGGAGGGGGGCTGTCAGACTCACTAGCCAACCCAGATTCCATGCCCTGGCCTCCAACCCCACAGATATAGCGGAAACCCTCCTGCCTACCCGTGGCCTACTCACCCTCCTTGAGGACTGCCTGGCTGAGGATGCTGTGGCCGTAGACTGCACCCCCGATGTCTTCTGTGTAGGCTGCAAAGGCCCTTGTCCAGCTGGAGACCCAGGAGACGCAGGGCAGGCTCCCGCA